CACACACACACACACAGCTGGAAGATAAGATGAAGGTACAGTATCTATTGTGGCCACACTGGAGGTAAATGGAGATTATGATTATCACAAAGAGGAGATACTGTTAGACCAGTTCCTGGGGGGGAGGCTGGGGGGGGGATTGAGTCCTTCGACAGCAAAATAACTACAAAAGTTTGTTCAATTCAGTAATGCACTGTTATGCAATATACTGTGGCTAATAATTTGGTCTACTGTATGCTCATGAGGCATTATAGCAAAAAAAAGTTGAATATGTTAAATATGTTGGTTGTGGAACTTATCATGGCAACTGTAACAACTGAAGATATTTCTCAGATGCCGAGATAACAGTTGAAAAGTACAGTAACCGTGTAGCACAAATCTGAGTGTATATTGTTAGCACTGCCTGTTTGAGAGGAAGACTGCAGCCTTGTGATAAGGCAATGTGCTGAAAATATTACTTTCTGTACGGTCAAAATACTGAGGTTATGTTTAACTTCTAACAGCGGTCAATTTCTATGGGTGCTGGGATCTCAGCTACACATGAAAAACATCCAAATACTGCTTTCATGCTTAAGCAACATGGTCAGGCACATTAATCTACAGGAAGATGAAGCTGTAGCAGATTGTGATTGTCACTGGAAATATTCATATAAATAAAATAGTTGTACTGTGATTGCAGATTTAGCTATAACATTTATCTACTTTTGCACATCCTTTGGTTACATGTTAAACTTTAAAACAGGTGATTGAGATCAATCTTTTCTTCATGTCTGTTGTCATTTTAAGGGCTTTTCGATCAATGTTTTCCTTGTTAACTGATGGAGGATCATAAGAGTGTCTGTTTCAGGAGCTGTTAAAACCACACAGACTGTGGCCAGCCCCGACCGGCCCCATCTTAATCACAGCTGGCTGAACTGATGACATATACAGTAGCATTTTCCGAGAGTATTAATACACAGAGTGAGCTGCAGCAAGCCAGGCACTATTTCTATCGCAACTATTTTCAGTGAAACCAAAAGATAATGTTTTTTTTTACCTTTTTTATGGTAACTTTTTGTTCATTTGAGCAGTAAAATGAGTGAAAAGCGACTGTTTAAAACATATTTATTTGGGTGTAAGCATCACGTTAATGTTGCAGTTAGTTAAGTTGAATTACTTTATATATTGCCACACACATACAGTTTATTTGTTGATTATATTTTGTGTTAATAATTCAAATGTGCAATGTAACTAGTGACTGAATCTTTAAAATAAATGGAGAAAAAAGTGCAATAGACGTATTAAGTTGCATACAATGGAAATACTCAAGATAAATACATATACCTCAATACTGTACTTTAGTATAGTACTTTAGTTTACTACTCATCGTTATTATATGAAACCCTTTATATTAAAGAAAAGTATTTACGTAAAGCTGTCTGATGAGTCAAGAGTTAAGATAACTGTTGTGATTAGTAAATATTCTTCTCCGGTGTTTTGTTGTTTATGTTCTGTCACTTCCCGTTCTGCAACCCTGCACACTGCTAATCGTTTGTATTAATTTTATTAGTTATGTTTAACCTTTTTGCTGGTAAATTTCATACAGGCAAACAGCGCTGACACAAGTGTGCAGGACTTTTGGGTTCTTTCACAGTCAGAGTTTATGATCCAACTCACCTGTCCTTAAGGAGTGCAAGAACTAACTAAACTAAAGTAAAACAAAAAAATTAACTAAATTAAAAAATACTATTATATCACAAGAATGGACCTGTTTTCACTCTTAAAACCACTGTCAGTAACAGCAGTACTAGGTTCATTCAGGTTATTGTGTGCACTGTAGGAATATCAATAAAACTGGTGGTGGTTTATTCCTCTTAATCAGAATCTGTCTATAAGTACCATAACATCATTGTGTGTCATACTTTATTTGAGAAAAGCAATAAATCTTTCACAAGAGCCTAAAATAATGATTTGTTTGATAAAATGCAATAGTTTACCTGATGTGTGTCAGTAGAAGTATTGACTCCAGAGATTGGCAAAATAAAATGGATTGAAAATATTGATTTTATTTATAAGTGTAAGTTAAAAGTGTATTTAATTCAAGTGATGTCCAGTTTTGTTGTAGTAGTTACTGTGGGGTGGCTGTAGCTCAGGAGGTAGAGGGGGTTGTTTTTAGGGCGCCCTATTGCTCACCTGGTAGAGCCGGTGCCTCAAGTCCTTGCTTGAATCTGACCTGTGGCCCTCTCTCTCTCTCTCTCTCTCTCTCTGAGTCTGTTTATATACACAGAATTGTACTGGTCTTTTTGTCTTCCTTGTGGCCTGGGAGTTGAAGTACATGCAGCATGCTCACCAAAAGTGACATATTATCAAATGAGGAACTGGGAACCTGTCTTTCAGATTCAGTTCCTTGAATGCTGCCTTTAAATGAATCCATTTACGTGTTATATGGTCAGGATGATCCAGAACTCTGTAAGTGTTGGTTGCCTTGTTAGCGCATTTTCTTTTCATTTGTGTGTGACATAATGACCTAGTGCTTTAATCCACTGCTCTTCAATCTCCATGCCAAGATTGTCTGGAACCCCGTTCTCCTGCAATCTATATATATAGCCTACTGAAATGGCCTTTAGCCAGACGCTGACTCTGTACCACCTCCAGATGCTGTAGTGTGTCATCGTCTTAGGGAAAGAACAACCGACTGGATCATACAAGAAGAAGATAAAGATATATTGTTAGTTTAACTGTACAATATAAAACATAGTGGTTTATTCACTTGACGTAATAAAACTTACACCAAAATCATTTCCTCAAATAGTTCTGCTAGAATACAAATCAACTACAAGTACTACAAACTCATTAACCAACTTGTTTTTTATTTCTTATTGACAAATAATTAAATAAATGCAACTGGTTCACTTTAAACCAGAAGTATGTTTAGTCAAGCCTTTAACTTTTTTCACATTCTGCAGGCAGATTGCAACATTGTAAAAAGACCATAAAAACCATTACCATGATCACATGCCCTTTATTGTTTTTCGCAAAGTTTTCCATGAGTCATGTGTGTATGATTTTACAGTGACTATATTACTGTTATTGCTCTAAAACCTAATGCAATCTATTTTGACAAAGATAATGTTCAACTTTATGTTTATTGAGATTTTAGCTGGCAGTGGTCTTTTTCTAAAATATTTTTTTGAGCTTTTTGCCTTTTTTAGATAAAACTCTCACACTGATTTGAGTTCAGCAGATCTGCCATTCAGTACCGACATACTGGTATTCAATGAGGGGCGCCAGCTTTAGGGAAGCTATAGGGTGCCCCATGAGAGGTGTTTCTAAAGACACATTTTAACATAATACAGTCCAATCCGATGCCACTGCAAACTGTGATCTCAGTCATAAACATATGGTTGAATTAACACCTTTCTGAGAAAATATACAGCATTATAACATCATAAATGAAGAATTTCTGGCTGATAGGTTGGCTAGTATTAGAGTTTATAGGTGGACCCAAGGAACTAGCCTGGGAGTGTAATGTAAGCACCACTGGCAGATTTCCAGACTCCTTCAGCCATGGAAGCAGGACTTCCAATAAATAATAAAAACATGTAAAATGTATTGAACGCCCATACAAAAGCCCTTCAGAGCATGTGACACTTACTCATTGTCCAGTTTTAGCTAAGTCTTTGTCAGAGATGTGTTGATTCATATCAATTTGTTATTTGTTCACCCTCAGTGGTTCACAGCTCACAATATAAAATAAGCCATGCATTTTTAACATTAAGTCTAGGTACATTTGCTCTTGCATTGGCCTTAGGTACAAGTCTAAGGTACTTTACTTACTTAGCTACTTGCATATTTTTCATTTGATGTCTTTGTAC